TGTCACGTCTAAGGAAAATGCGAAAGTTAAAAATAGAGGAGTTGTGCACTGTGACTATGACTTGGGATATGCAATCAAGTCTGGGAGGAATATAGCCTGATCAACTATATTCGTCCGAGAAGTGACTAGTATATGCCGGGGGATAGTCATAGTGGACAACAAGTCTATCAACCTACCAACTCCCATACAAGTATAGCTCTAAGAATCAAACAAAACATTTAACATACTATAGGGGTATTTTATGCACTAAAACACAATATTTCTAGATTCATTATGTGCCTCTTACACCCCTATTCTCGTACAGATGACATGGCGGGATTTCATTTACCCGGAGACCCCTACTTTCCGAAACAGGGGAACGGTGGTTGGTTGGAAGCAGAACCGGAAGAGGATCCCGAGGAAGTATTCGAGGAGGAGCCCGAAGAAGACCCCGAAGAGGACGAAGAAGAAGAGGAATTAGAGGACGAAGAAGAAGAAGAGGAGTCGGAGGAGGAAGTCATCAACCCTCCTTACATCGCCAGGGTGCCTGCGAACCGTTTTGGCTACAACGGGCCCGAGCCCCGTTGGGCAACAATGATCGAGAGATGGAACCGTCAACAACGACAACGATCACCATTTGGCGATCAACGAGGTTACTATGACCTCAGTCATGGGGTACCGGCTGACAGAGCCCTCCCAGTCGTGATCCAGCAAATCACGAACCTAGGGGACCAGAATAGGGAAATGACGAATCAAGTTCGGGATCTTAATGCTATTGTAGAAGCCTCAGATGCTCGTATCAGGGACTTAGAAAGAGACTTCTATCCCATGGACCAACTCATCGAGGACCTTACCACCGCTCGGGCGGAGGTAAGGGAGTACCAGGTAAGGCACGCGGCGCTCGAGGAGAGAGTGATCGCGGCCAAACGCCAAATTGTGAAGCTGCAGGGAGCCTCGACCTCGTCTCAAGGCCACAGTGGACCAGCTGATACCACCCGCCTCGAGTAGTGCATGCACTACTCATATTTTGTTATAAACTAGATTTACGAGTATGTGTTGGGACTACTCTTTCCTGCAAGTAGGTTTGACCCTGCGTCTAAGTGGCTACACTAGCCGAAGGGTCTATGTGCTGCCAAAAGTTTCTGTTACATTGATATAATGTAGACCTTCTATAAGGTCAAATTTTCCTAAGAACATGTACTAAATTGTATTAATGAAAATTGGCATGCATTTTATTTCATTGGGAGTTCACCTCCAAATTCATAACATAACATTACAAACAATTTGTTTATGGTAACTCTGAGATTATTTGATATATACCTCGAGACTATGTGTAATTAAGAGATGATCGACTTAGAAATGGTGAGTCCTCCTTGGGTCCTGTTCCTTGTTTGGTTCTGGACTTAGGACAGACTCATTAAGTTCGACGGTCTATTGAACCTTAGTTGCACACAACTAGTATACATTGAGTGGTCTTATGAGTGGATCAGGCATGGAACAAAGATTGCAAGATTTCATTTGAAGTCATTACTACTAAATTCATAAGTTTACTTATATAGACTCCTACTATGAATTGTTTGCGAACATTTGAAAGTCGGAATATACTATACTTGAAAACTAATAACCGAATTCTACGACACCCGACTTATAACCATTACTAAAAGAATTATACTCGTTTCTTCTGTAAAATTCTATGACAGAAAGATGCCACCTCGTAGATCTGCTAGGCGCACTGGCAGAACACAAACAAATCCATCACCGCCGCCTCCCGAGTATGATCTTGTTATGTTCCAGGCTGCGGTTACGGCCGCATTGGCAGCTGCTATGTCCCAAATCAGCACTGACGGTGCCAGGAGGACAGGGAGCGGTACTAATAACTCCACTCAAGGAGATAGCCAAGGGCGTTCGAGGGAATGTTCCTATAAGGACTTCACAGATGGCAAACCCGATTCTTTCAATGGAAGCGGGGGCGTCATCACTTTGATGCAGTGGTTCGAGAAGACCGAATCCGTCTTCGAGATCTGTGCGTGCCCCGAAGCAAGCAAAGTCAAATTTGCAGCTTGCACTTTCACCGGCAGGGCCCTTACTTGGTGGAACGGCCACGTAAAATCTCTAACTCTCGCCTTGGCTAATTCGATAAGCTGGGAAGACTTGAAAACTATGATGCTGAAGGAGTATTGCCCAAGGGTGAAGTGCAAAAATTAGAGCAAGAACTGTGGAGTCTCAAGATGACGGGCTCTGACCTTGCAGCTTACACTGCCCGATTCAATGATCTAGCACTCCTCTGTTCGGCGATGGTCACTCCGGAAAGCAAGAAGGTGGAACGATACCTCCGGGGACTATCTTCCCAGATTCAAAATAGCGTGTTGGCCTCAAGGCCAACCACCTTTGACAGTGCCAAGGAGTTGGCACAACAACTCATCGATCATCGGGCCAGCCATGTCAATGTGACAACCACCTCCGATCAAGCAAAAGGAGGGAACAACAAGAGGAAGTTCTGGAACAATAAAAAGAAGCAATCGGCGTAGGACCCCACCAAGAAGCAACAAACTGTTACCATCCATGCTGCCACTACTCCTTCCACTCCAGCACCACTGAGACAATATGCTGGAACCCTTCCCAAGTGCAACAAGTGCAACTTTCACCACAACGGTCCTTGTCGTGAACTACACTGCAACAGCTGTAACAAAAAGGGGCATACCGCCCGTTTCTGCAAGGCGTCTGCCCAGCAAGCCAACCCGGCCGCCAACGCCGGAGCAAGCCGAGCCTGTTATGGCTGTGGGGAAACTGGGCACTACAAGAGGGACTGCCCAAAAACTAAAAACGCAAGCACCGGCGGTGTCGGAAGGATCTTGGCCTTAGGACAAGGGGAAGCAAGGGAAGATCCCACGGTGGTTACCGGTACGTTTTTCCTCAATAACGCATATGCATGAATATTATTCGATAGTGGAGCGGAGATGAGTTTTATTAGCCACAAATTCAAACAATTATTAAAACAAAATCCCCAATCACTAAAAGATACATACGTTGTAGAAATGGCTAATGGAAAAACAGAAAGCACTAACGACATATACTCAGGGTGTAGCCTCACTCTAGACAATCACTCATTCAAAATCGATCTATTTCCGGTTTCAAGGTAGTTTAGAGAGGCTTAAAAGTGAGTAAAAGTAGGAGAGAGGTTGGGAATTAGCAACAAAAACCGGAGGTCTCGCTTTCTATTTATAGGAGGCTGAAGCCTCGCTGTACGCTGGGCGTAGCGTACGCGTCCAGCCTACTTCCTACGTGTTGAAGCTAGTTCATTAAATGACATGCATGCGACGGAGAGGTGACGGAGGGTGGACGTGGCTGGCCTCTGACCTTGTTTCCGAGTACACTGGGCGTACTCTTGTACGGTGGGTGTTCTCACATTTCTTCAACTTTAAAATTTCGTAACTTTCGCATACGAGCTCCGTTTTTGACGTTCTTTATATCTACCCGTAGGTGAGACTATGCTCTACAACGTTCGTTTAGACTCCGTCGGCTAATTTTGACTTTATTTTTAAAGTTATATTTTTAACAGGCCGAGACAGGAAAAGTCCGTTAAAAATTCATAACTTCTTCATCCGACGTCTGTTTTCGTCTGTCTTTTTACTGTTGGATTTCTTTTGATAAGATCTCCGATTCTCGTTTAAGTTGTTTTGGCCAAAATTTGCTCAATCTAACTTTCGAGTTTCGGGCTGTGCACTGTCGTGTCGAAACTTAGAAAAATCATAATTTTTTCATACGAAGTCAGATTTAGTCATTCTTTTTATGGACACTCTCGGTTTAACATATACTATAACTTTCATTAAGATAGTTAAGGTTAAAAAAGCATTTTATTGAAAATTCACTTTTTACGTTAAACAGTGTTTTGCCGGTTTTGTCGTGGATTTTCGATAGGTCATAACTTCTTCGTTATAACTCGGATTTGGGCGTTCTTTATATTTTTGGAATCCTTGACACGATTTCTATCACTATATTCATCCCAAACAAGTTTGTTTAACATTTCATTTTTGAGGGTCGATTATATAAATGCACATAGTGTACAAAAATTTCTCTTTATTGTTGATCTATACTATTCATAAAGTCGAAATAACGGGTTGTTACACAAAACACCTTACAGGGACAAAACTTGAAACAAAAACAAAGAATATAAATGCTTCTGCTTAAAAAAAGAGTTAGGAACCAAGCACACAGACCACCCCAAACCAAAAGGACCATTCGTGTAATTTACCCTAAATAAATTAAAAATAAACTGCTAAGGGCAAAATAATTATTTCGAGTGTAACATGGACCAAAGACGCAACAAAACATACCATAAAGATTGCACGAGTTAAAAAATAGTTATTAGGGGTGACAGAATCTGAACACAAAAATAAACGAGTTTTGATTCTGACCCGCTAACTGTCAAATTAACGGATCGTGTTCAAGTTAGTATTTGAGTTCACAGATCAACCTATATATATATATATATATATATATATATATATATATATATATATATATATATTAAAAGGTATTACTATTTTAAAGTAGGGACGGTGGAGGTATTTCACAATTTGGTGAAAACACACATCTTGTCTTGCATTTGCAAGCGATTATGCATAATGCCCTCCTGGGCACCACACTCAAATGAGCATGAGAAGATTTGAACCCATGACCTTCATTTGGAAAAATTCACGGTATAATATATTAGATTTAAGTTATGCGACTGTTTCTATCGGCATATACATGTTGCGTGCCCTAAATAAAATTGATTCTCACTATTACTCAAATAATATTTTGGTCAACCTGCCGACCCACCAAACCGTGAACTTGAATTTGACTCACGAACCCGAATTTGACCCGCAAACCCGTATAACAAATCATCTTAAGCCTAATGGACAATTTGTCCTGGAAGATATTTATCATTTTTAACAAAAGAAAAAAAAAAAAGTAAAAAAAAAAAAGTTTAAGAAAAAGGAAAACCTTGGCGTACCCGATGAGTCATAAATACGAAAGTACGTTTAGTTACGTAAGATCTAAATAACTAGGGCTCCATTTGCGTATAGCAAAGTCCTAAACCAGGTCAGGTTCCGACTTTCTCCGGTCGACTTCCGATCAACAAATCTTATAAACTGAAACCCCCACAAGGTAAACCAATCACTTAACAGTTTCAAAATCCTCATCAAATGTTTATGCTTCTTATGGTTGCCGATTCGTGTTACTCGACTTTATCAGAATTATCCTAGTCCTTTCATCTTCCATTTCGGTGTATGTTTGTAATTGCGTTTGTATACATACATATTTATATGTATGAATCGATTGTTTAGTTCTTTTTGTAGTTAAATTGTGCTCCATTGTTTCTACATAAGTAATTAGGTAAAGTTTTTTTTTTGTACATGGTTGTCAAATTCACTTATAAAGGTTCGATGAAAAACTTCTTTTAGGTTACAAATTCGACAAGTGTTGCTGTTTTAAGAAAAATAAACAATCACTACATCAAATCTTTCTGCATCTACATGGTTAAAACTGATGATTAGCTAACTAGGTTGATCTCACGAGTCTAGGCCTCTAGGTATCTCGAGGCTTATTGATGTTATCATGTTGACAATTGTTGAATGTTGATCATCTCTTAAACATATAGAGGCTGTATTTGTTTACTTTTGGGAGACATTTAGTTAAGGTTTTTTGTATAAAACTAAATGCTATTGAGCTATTCTATACATAGAGGCGACCCCTATTCATTGAAATTGAGTTTTTGGTAGTTGCTAATAAAGGCTTGACTAAGGGGAAAAAGCTGCTTGTTTTGATTCTATAACTAAAAATAACCCATTGATAGAGGGTTTTAAAAGAGAATTTTGAGATGATTACATTTACATTTGTCTCTATAAACCTTATTTGTCTATTTACTTGTTTATAATTGGAAAAAGATTTAAGCATTAGCCGTTCGAAGTAGAATAAAATTGATTGTATGCATGTGTTTATATCATAATTCATAAGTATCCCTATCTTCTTATTTTGATTATATTTTTTATAATCATTGCTGATCATGTATTTTAACCAATGACTTAAGTCAGTCATTATGGAGTCATTCATATGATAACAAATCAAGCTTCTCTTTTTCTTACCTAATGTTACATACTTTCCTTTTGTTGATCCTCAGTATAACCTCCACTCCAGGGTCGCCACCTGGCAAAGGCGAATCATATCCAAGAAGAATAACGTTTCAAATTCAACAATCAAAATGGCTGCATCAGAAGATAACAATACTCTTTTTCCAATCTTTATCTTCTCCATATTGGCTCTTCCTTTAGTACCTTACACAATATTCCAGTTATACTATTTAGCTACAAAGAAGGCCAAAATCGCCAAGTGTCAATGTTCAGTCTGCTTACAATCTGGAAAATACCACAAGTCTATATTTAGACGTGTGAGTATAATGATTCATAATCTTTTATTTCAGTTTTATATATAACATAATCTACACATTTCTGAATTCTTTTTTTGGTTTTATGTAATAAACAGATATCAAACTTTTCAACCTATAGCAACTTGACTCTTCTTATGCTATGGGTGATCATGGTGTTGTTGGCATATCACATATAAAAAGCAGCAGTCATGAGGTGGAAATCTTTGAACCATTTAGTATTCTTGGATTAGAACATGGAGCTACAGATTCAGAAATCAAGAAAGCATATAGGAGACTTTCCATCCAATATCACCCTGATAAAAATCCAGATCCAGGTGGATAATTATTTTAAGTTTTTAACCAACTGTTTAATTTAAATTCTAAATTTCTAACCCTTTAAGGTTGTGTTTGAGGTGCCACAACTAGCTTATTTTTCGAGGTTTTTTAAGTTGTCATGTTTGGCAATCCAAAAAGTAGCTTATAAGCTAGCTTTATAAAAAGCTACTACTTAGGCTAGCTTTTCAAGACCTTTTTTTTAAAATTTTCCAACTATACCCTTAATTAATTATAAAAAAACATGTTGTTTTAAATGCCTATTTATGTCTTTTTTATATCTTTCAACTAGCTTATCAACTAGTTTTACTTTTACCAAACGTTATTTTTTATCAGCTAGCTTTTCAGCTATCAGCTATCAGCTTAAACATAGCCTAAGTCTATTAGTGATAACTTTTTATTTTCTTTTTTCAGAGGCACATAATTATTTTGTGGAATATATATCCAAGGCTTATCAAGCTCTAACAGATCCAATATCACGTGAGAATTTTGAAAAATATGGTCATCCTGATGGCAGACAGGTACACCATAATCTTCTTAAAAGACCAAATTACCCTTGTAACTTATAACTGAAAAGCTAAAAGTTATTCAATTTTACATTTCATCGAAAACATTGATTACACAAATCAAAGTCCATTAATTTCTTGAATTGATTTGAGTAAATTTGTGAAAAAACAGGGGCTACAAATGGGAATTGCTCTCCCTCAGTTTCTATTGAATATTGATGGGACATCAGGGGCAGTGAATTTACTTGGAATTGTTGGAATTTGCATTATTATGCCCTTGGTGATGGCTGTTATGTACTTATCAAGATCATCTAAATATACTGGAAACTATGTCTTGAAGCATACTCTATCTGCATATTTCTATCTAATGAAACCCTCTTTGGCTCCAAGGTATATATTATTTTTCGACTTTTTAACTATAATTTAACACTTTTACTTTCACCATTTTATCAATTTAGCAACTTTACTATTTTCTACAGTTATTAAACCATTATATACTTTTTTTACCATTGAAAAAAAGCAATTTGCTCAATCCCCATATAATCGATTTAGCTACCCAACTTTTATTTTTATTGGTTTATCCACTAAACTATTACTATAATAAATTAATAATCATGAAAATTAGTTATTCACAGGCTAAATCGATAAAGCAGTAAAAGTATGCTTTACTTTTCTTTATTTGTTATGTATAAATACAAAAAAAAAAAAAAAAAAAACAGTTCCACTTTAAACCAGGGGATCCATTTAGCCACTTAACTATTTTCTGTAGGGGAAATTGTCAGAAAAGTCCCTATATTTTCGGAAAAGTTTCACTTTAGTCCCCCAATTTTTTTTGAACAGAAAAGTCATGATTATTTGATTTTACACGATAATATTTTATTTCCTGTTAAAAGAAAAAAGGACTTTTTTGTTAATTCGAGCCAAAATGAAATGATTGGGACTTTTATGTTCAAAAAAACAATTTTGGGACTAGAGTGAAACTTTTCTGAAAATATTGGGACTTTTCTGACAATTTCCCTTTTCTGTAGTGATTAAACCATTATACTTTTCTGAGTATTAAAGAAATACCAATTTTTCATGGCAAAATGAAGAAAAACACAATGTGGTTTTGCTATTATATTGATTATAGCTACAAAATTATTATTTTTAATGGATATAGGCATATAGCCACTGGACTATTATTATTATAATAAATATAAATAAATAACTGTTCACTGGCTAAATCTGTAAAATGTTAAAAGCACTTTTTCTGTTTTTATGTTTAGGGTTACCATTACTTATGGCCAACAAACTAATTTTAGTTCATACAAAATACTATTTTATACACTTTATTACCCAACTTTTCCTTTTTACAATTTTGGCCCAAGTATTACTTTTTGTTACAAATTTGGTCCCGACTTTTTTTTTTTTGCAAATTTGTTTCTATATGTTTTTTGAAACTTAGTTTCTTTTATAATTTAGTTTTTTCTTTCTAATTTTTTTTGCATATCTGTTTTTATGCATGTTTTTGAAGGTTTTTTACAACCTTTACATGTTTATTTACAAGTTTCTGTTATGAATGTTTTTTCTTTTACAAATTCGTTTTTGTAAAAACAAATTAGTGCGTATTTTTTTTTTTAATTTTTTTACAACCCTTACGTGCTTTTTACCATTTTTTTTAAGGGTTGTAAAAAAATTAAAAAAAATTGTAAAAACAAACATGTAAAAGAAAAAACGTAAGGGTTGTAAAAAAATTAAAAAAAAAACATGTAAAAACAAATTAGTGCGTGTTTTTATGCTTTTTACCATTTTTTTAAATTTTTTGCATATTCGTTTTTATGCATTTAAAGATTGTAAAAACAAACATGTAAAAAACATTTTTTTTACAATCTTTAAATGCATAAAAACGAATATGCAAAAAATTTAAAATACAATTTTTATTAAAATAATCTATAAAAATCGAAAAACCCTTTAAAAAATTCACTACTAAAAAAATCAGAAGACGAATTCATAAAAAAAACTAATTACTAAAAACAAACTAATTTAAATAAAAAACATCTAAAACCAAAGTTGCAAATTCGTAAAAAAAAAAGTTGAGACCAAATTCGTAAAAAAAAAAGTTGAGACCAAATTCGTAACAAAATTTAAAACTTGGGTCTAAACTGTAAAAACAAAAGTTGGGTAACATGTAAAGTAAACCCACTATAAACCAATTTGTAACAACTTTCATAGTCAGTTACTTACATCTCAGGATATATTAAAGTGTATAAAATATTAAAATATGGAGTAAATTACACGAATGGTCCCTATGGTTTGGGGGTTATTTGCGTGCTTGGTCCCTAACTTATTTTTTAACTCGGAAAGTCCCTACTGTTTGTTTTTGTTACGCGCTTGGTCCCTGTCTTACCTAAAAAGACTATTATTTAAATAGGAAAAATGGTGGGGTAGGTAAGGTAAGGTGAAGGGGTGGGGTTGGGGGTTTGTTTATTTAAATAAATTAATAAATCAAGGGCAAACTAGTTTTTTTAGGTAAGACAGAGACCAAGCGCGTAACAAAAACAAACAGTAAGGACCTTCCGAGTTAAAAAAATAAGTCAGGGACCAAGCGTGCAAATTACCCTAAACTATAGGGACCATTCGTGTAATTTACCCTAAAATATGGTATTTTGGTTACATTGGTTGATCATAAGTAGTGTTATAACCAATGTTTTAGAAAGTTTCAAGTTTAAGTATAAAAATATGAGCAAAATAATTAATTAATTAATTATTTTTTTTGAAAAATTAATTACAGTAAGGTGATGGATGTGTTCATAAAAGCTGCTGAATACATGGAGATTCCAGTGCGTAGAAGTGATGGAGAGCCTCTTCAGAGACTTTTTGTTCTTGTCAGAAGTGAATTAAATCTTGACCTTAAAAATATTAAACAAGAACAAGCTAAATTTTGGAAGCAGCATCCTGCTCTAGTCAAGGTTTTTTTTAATATTCCTTTAAATTTTTTAATAATCTTTTTTTTTTTTCTATTAATATATATTTTTATAAAATTGCAGACTGAGTTATTAGTTCAAGCTCAATTAACTCGTGAGTCAGGATGTCTGACTCCATCTTTACAACGTGATTTTAGACGTATACTTGAAGTTGCTCCTCGCCTTCTTGAAGAGTTAATGAAGGTATTAATATTATGTCTATTTATTACAATAAACAAAAAATATTTAAACTTATTTTTATTTTTTATTTTATTATTGAGATCAATTTCATTTTCTCCCAATCAAATCCAAATGCATGCATGACAATTCAAATGATGGGAATTGAATTCAATCGCAATACATAAAATTAAGAGTAAATTACACGAATGGTCCCTAACTTATTTTTTTAACTCAGAAGGTCCCTACAGTTTGTTTTTGTTACGCGCTTTGTCCCTGTTTTACCTAAAAAGACTATTTTGCCCTTGATTTTTTAATTTATTTAAATAAGGTGGGGTAGGTAATGTGAGGTGGAAGTGGGGTTGGGGGTGTGTTTATTAAAATAAATTAAAAATCAAGGGCAAAATAGTCTTTTTAGGTAAGACAAGGACAAAGCGCGCAACAAAAACAAACTGTAGGGACCTTTCGAGTTAAAAAAATAAGTTAGGGACCAAACGTCCAAATTACCCTAAACCATAGGGACCATTCGTGTAATTTCCTCTAAAATTAAAATCCCACTTCCCTTCCATAAAGTCATGAAACTCAAATCCATATGTCCCTCATTTGTGTAAATGACTGAAATACCCTTCCTAAACCCTAGAATGATCATATACAAGAAACAATTATTCACAAAATTAAAAAAAAAAAAGTTATATTTTGGTTGTTGTAGATGGCGGTTCTACAGCGGCCCCCACATGGACACGGGTGGCTGAGACCTGCAATTGGGGTGGTTGAGCTCTCACAGTGTATAATACAGGTGCTTTTTTTTTTATTATTTATTTTTTATATTATCATTATAATTAATGATTAATAATAATATTATTATTATAAAAATTTGACATGTAGGGAGTTCCATTAAGTGCAAGAAAGCCAGTTGGAGGGTCTGTTGAAGGAATTGCTCCTTTTTTGCAACTCCCGCATTTCAGTGAGGCTGTTCTTAAAAAGCTTGCCAGGAAGGTATATCATTGTTATTTATATCAAATCCTTTTAGTCATTTAGACACAAGGGTAAAATTGTCATCTACTTTCATTTAAAACAATTCATTTTGTCAAAAAAGAGAAAAAGTCTTTGTTCATTAAAGCACTTTCCTAAAGAATTAAGTTGTTCCAGTTTTTTACAAAACTAAACCCTAAAAATCATAACGCTTTCTCTTTTCCTTCGATTTTCAAAGTATAGCATTATTTATCCAGACACTTTTCTATTCTGGCAAAATGACCATTTTACCCTTTACATGAACATATCATCTTAGGTTAAACAGTAAATGACCATTTCACCCTTTACATAAACATATCATTTAATTACTTACTACATCATTACTTTCTTCGCAGTACCATTTTGCCCTTTACATGAACATATCATTTGATTACAACATCATATCACTATCTTTTAGATTGAACATGATATTTTTCTATAAAACAGTAAATGTCCATTTTACCCTTTACATGAACAAATCATATGATTACATCATTACCATCTTTAGATTAGACAGTAAATGATCATCTCACCATTTACACAAACATATCATTACTAATGTTGCTTGATATACAACGTTTCCACCAAACAGTAAATGACCATTTTACCCTTCACAGAAAATCTGTACTTTTGAGCTACAAACTCATCACTATCTTAGATTGAGCATAATATATTTCTATGGAACATTAAATGACAATTTTACCCTTTACATGAACATGTCATATATGATTACATCATTACTACCATCTTAGATTAAACAGTAAATGACCATTTTACCCTTCACACAAACATATTGTTTAATTACAACATCATTACCATCTTTTGCTTAAACACAATATTTCCATCAAACCGTAAATGACCATTTTACCCTTTGCATTCAACATATCATATGATTGCATCATTACTACTATCTTAGATTGAACATGATCCTTCTATAAAACATTCAATGACCATTTTACCCTTTACATGAACATGTCATATATGATTACGTCATTACTATCTTCGATTAAACATTAAATGACCATTTTACCCTTTACATGGACATGTCATATATGATTACATCATTACTATCTTAGATTAAACAGGAAATGGCCATTTTACCCTTTACGTGACCATGTCATACATGATTGCATCATTACTATCTTAGATTAAACATTAAATGACCATTTTACCCTTTACATGACCATGTTATAAATCATTACATCATTACCATCTTAGATTAAAACATTAAATGGCCATTTTACCCTTTACATGACCATGTCATAAATGATTACATCATCACCATCTAAGATTAAACAGTAAATGACCATTTTACCCCTCAACAGAAAATCCGTACTTTCGAGGACTTCCGCGACCTAACCCAACAAGACCGCTTCGACCTCCTAACAAAAACCGCGGGCTTCACCCCACTCCAATCCCAAGACATCGAAACCGTGCTCGAGACATTACCATCAATAACCTTCGACATCAAATGTGAAACCGAAGGCGAAGAAGCAATCCAGGAGGGCGATATCGTAACTATGCGTGGTTGGGTCACACTCAACCGCTCCAACCACAAAATCCGTTCCCTCCCACATTGCCCAAACTACCCTTTCCACAAAGAAGAAAACTTTTGGCTCCTTTTAGCGGACCCCACATCCAACAGCGTATGGATCTCCCAAAAAGTGAGCTTCATGGACGAATCCGCCGCCCTAATCGCCGCCCCGAAAGTAATCCGGGAGTCGAAAGAGTGGGCGGGAGCCACCCCGAAGGAGTTGAATTTGGCGGTGAAGGAGGCGGTGGAGAAGGTGAGGAATGGGTCGAGGTTGGTGATTGGGCGGTTCTTGGCGCCGGAGGAAGGGACGTATAATTTGACTTTGTTTTGTTTGAGTGATTCGTGGTTGGGGTGTGATACGAAAATGAGTTTGAAGTTGAAGGTGTTGAAGAGGAGTAGGGCGGGGATGAGAGGTGGGGTGGTGGTGGAGGAGGGTGTAGAGGATGGTGGTGAGGAGGAGGAAGTGGAGGAGGATGAGTTGTATGATGATGATGAGAGTGAGTATAGTGAAGATGAAGCCGATGTGGAACATGAGGTTGTGGATGATGATGATGATGATGATGTGAATGATAATGATAATGATAATGATAATGATAATGATAATGATGAGGATAAGAAAGAGAATTAGAAGATAGTTTTCTTTTTTTTTTCTTTTTAATATATACTTTGGTTTGTAAGTTATGACTTTGGACTGAATTTTCAAAATTTGTTTAGAACATTTCATAATAATTAATGTCTTTAAAGTAGAATCCATACATTTTTAGAGTTTTGGTGTTTGCTCAGTCATATATTATATAAGGAAATAACTTTCGGTATTTATATATTAATGACCTTGTACTTTATTTGACATGTTTTGGACTTTGATTTAGACTGATGTTAAAAGATAACAAGCTACCCGACTAATATGTAACCATTGGGTTTAAATCGGAATTTTCATTACCTATTACAATATCATCCAAAAATAAACTATATGAATTTTGAATAATTCAAATTTTTGTTTTTAATATTACATATAATTTTAAAATCATATATATTAATAATAAAGTTATAAGTGGTATAAAAATATAAATCGTTTGAGGTCAGTTAAATGTGATTAGGTAATTGGACAAGTATATCGCTTATAACCATCATAAACCAGTGAAATGTTTCAGAAAAAAGCTCATATCTGATGCCATAACCATTTACATGTATAAAAAAATCTTAGGTTTGATTTATCCTTTGGAATTCGTGTATTTTGCCATACTTGATCTTTATTATAAAATTGGTGTATGAATTTAATTTTATAAAGTTTAAGGTCAATTTCGTAATTAAAGAAAGTTACATAAATAGGTATGAACAAGGTTCTAAATGGGGTGAGTCATAAGCTTGACGACAAGATCAAGCCTAGGACATTGTGAACCATGACTTTTTTAAAGCGTGATAATTTTATATACATTAAAAATATCATATAATTATAGAATTATATCAAATATATTAAGTTTTTAGAAATGTTATATTATCATTTAATATAAATAGTTAACAAATACTTAATTGTTTTAAGTCCGTTTAGGAAAAAAAAAACCCTAGGCCATAACGTCATAGGTCTAAGCCATGCATTTAGAACCATGATTATGAGAATGAAAATTAAAAGAGTAAATTATATTTTTTGTCTTTGAATATATCTTATTTTTGCAATTTTGATCCTAAAAAGTTTTACACGGCAAATTTTAGTTTTTATTTAAAGTTTTTGTAACATTCTTTTTATAATTTACGTTAAAATTAAAAGAGTAAACTACATTTTTGGTCCTGAGTATATCTTATTTTGGCCGTAAAAAATTTATCTATCAATTTTGGTGCGTTATAAGGTTTTAGGTTTTTGTAACAATTTTGGTCTTGTTCCAAATAAAATGTATTTGAATCTTACCACTAGAAAAGGGGATATGAACCCTTTTTGAATCTTATTCTTCCAAAACCATGCCACTAGTGAGATTATACACCACACTCATGATCTTTGTTCATGCCATATCAAAATTATTAATAAGAAACAAAACATTTAACTCTATATATATATCACCATTTTTTTTTACTTATGAAGCTAATATTTATTGTAATTATTAATAAGAATCACAACATCTGACTCTACAAAAAAAAAATATCACCATTTTTTTTTTACTTATGAAGCTAATATTTCTTATAATTATTAATAAGAATCACAACATTCGACTCTACAAAAAAAATATCACCATTTTTTTACTTATGATTCTAATATTTCTTATAATTTATCGGTGTCCCGGACAATAGTTTTTGAAGGAAGCACAATCGCCGCCACCGGATTTTGTTCCATTCCACCGCCTTCATCAATAATCAGTCTAAGACCATCCACATGAAGCTTCCCATGGTGACCACTTACCACAATTGTCGCGCTTTTGCTCAATTCCTAATTTATATCAAATATTAATTAGAAATATCATTATGTATAAAAAACAATCTACATTGCCATAATAAGTGAAGAAATAAAAGTACGTTGCTATTACGGGTAATACATGTACATGTGGGGGAGAATGGAATCGTATCATACTTTCATTTCTTCCTGTTACAACATTTTATTTGAAAAATTTACACAATTATAGCAATGCCATCCAAATACAAAACAAATTTCATTGCTATAATTACATAACTTTTTTAAAATATAATGTCCTAATAAGGAAAAAAATTGAAAGAACAACAAATCACATTTTTGGTCCCTGAGTATAGTTGATTTTTCCAATTTTAGTCCAAAAAGTCATTTTGCAATTTTGGTCCTTATTTAAAGTTTTTATAATGTTTTTGCTTTCTGTTCCAAGTAAAATGACTATTTTTGGTCGCTGAGTATAAACGATTTTTGCAATTTTGGTTAAAAAAAAATACAGCCATTTTACTTCAACCAATGACCAAAACTTTACAATAACCTCAAAAGTATAATGCTTTATAATAATAAAACGCCTTAACAAGAAAACTTAAAGTATAATGTTTTATAATAACAAAACGAAATAGGATGCTAAGATACACAAATAAATAAAAATACATTTCTATTTCTTGCATTTAACATTTTAAGATTTTAGATTTACCTCGGGGATGTCCCACACACTCTTTCTTCCACTAAGTGGCTCCACCTTTGGAATTCTTGTGTCTTTTGCCTTTAAATATTTAATTTGTTCTTTCACATCTTTCCCTTTTTCCAAACCACCATGAACAGCGATTAATTTACAAGATTGAAGTCCATTTTCGGTCTCTATGGACACATTCTCCTAAATAAAATTATTATAAGATAAAACGCAAGAATATAGAGGTTATTTTGAGTAAAAAAATAAGGTAAAATTCTAACCTCTTCATAGATCCAAACCAAATTAGAAAGAAACTTTTTGTGGTTATCAGGAACTGCTTTCATCAAATCTGTACAATCCATTCACAACTTAATCATGGAATTAATTTAATCACAACATTTAAACCTAAAAAGAAACGAAAAGTGAAATACATACCAGAAGATCCATGAGGAACACCATAAGATTCGAATGTGGTTCCAGCATCATAAATCGAACCCTTATACTCTGTTCCTTTAGCAGTATTAAACTTAACAGTAATCTTCCCAGCCCATCTCCTTCCTTGCAAATGCATCTTCTCATATCCATCATCTTTATACCACCCTTCTCTTTCTTCGCTCGGCTTAAACTCCTCCCACGTATCAGAAAACGCCGATCCGTCTGGCGGCGGCGGGATGGCTCCTAGAAACGCTGCGAATGCGAAATCATGGTTTCCGGCGAGGAAGACGTGGGATTGATTTGGGTATTTGGAAGGAAGTGCGATTAGGAAATCTAGAACTTCGCGAGTATGGGGACCTCGGTCACAGTAATCGCCGAGGAAGATGATGTGGGCGTAGTGGAAATCGGAAGGTGGGATTAGGGTTTGGAGATTGGACCAGAGATTTTGGAGCTTGGTTATGTATCCATGGATGTCGCCGATGCAAATCACGACCTTTGGTTTGGTGGTTGTTTGTGGTGCGATTGACATGATTTCGACTGTGTGTGTGTGTGTGTATTTCTGGGTGGAAAATGAATGGTGGAATCAGGAATGAAACGAATTAAGAAAAATGTTTGTCGTTTTTTCAAGATTTTTTCGTTAAAATTTTCCAAAAAAAATCTAACTCTGGTTTGAGCGAGTTCTTGAACTTCTGCAATTTCAAGGAGATGTGGTCCGAAGTGCGAACCGGGTTAGAAATGCACCATGTACCGGTCCAATGGCTTTTATTTTCACCTTACCTCCATACCTCAAAGCATTTATTTAACAACAATAATATTTAAAAAAAAATAAAAAATAGATGGTTAGTTACTAATTTATGAAATTAGCTTTTATATTTATATATAAATGATCTTTGATTTCTTCTGTCTGTCTGTCTGTCTTTTTTTTTTTTTTTTTTTTTTTTTTTTTTTTTTTTTTGTCATTAACAATGCTATTTCTCTAAAAATCGAATTGGCAGTTTTCATAATTTCTAGCATTTTAGCCACTAACAAAACAGCTTTGGTTCTTCATCAAGGTATTCATATGTTAAGACCGGATTACACCTGACTAAACTTTTTTGACCCACTTTGATCGAGTTTTTTTTTGGTGATGAGCAATGCATGATCCATGTCCATATCTATTTTTTTTTTTGGGTAATTAAACATTTTTATTACAAAATTTAACATTCGCCTAAAATTTTTAATATTTGATAAAAAACGATGTCGAGGTATTCATATGTTAAGACCGGAATACACCGGACTAAATTTTTTTGACCCACTTTGATCGAGTTTTTTTTGGTGATGAGCATGATCCATGTCCATATCTATTTTTTTTTGGGTAATTAAACATTTTTATTACAAAATTTAACTTCGCTTAAATTTTTTAATATTTGATAAAAAACGATGTCGATATAAAAATGGGAGATAAATCATAAATCACATTTGAAAGCTGTGCCTAGGACACATTGGAAAGACATAGTAGTAGTTGCATGGAAAGACTGGCAAAAACGTTTTGTTTAGCACATTAAAAGCCTAAACAAAGCATGAAAGCATTTATTCATGTTAAAAGTGTTGTATTTAGCCAATTAAGGTTTGAAGTAGATATAAAGCCTACTATTCAAGGAATCTTGTATTTTGGGGTATGTTAACTTAATACTTGAAGTTTATTTTGGGGTATGTTAATTTAATACTTGAAGTTGTAAAGGTATATTCACCCATAGACCATATATTAAAAAGTTAACAAAATTACAAAAATGGTCATGTGGTATGTATTTTTTCTGGGTTTTAGTTAAAACATCGATTTTTTTGGATTGATGGTCTTTTTCATCTAGTTTCGTTGTGTATATGGTCCCTCCGAATATTGAAATGAGTATAATACCCTTGGGTATTTATTTTCCATTTTTCGTTCATTTTTTTAAAATCTAATATATATTTATTTGTTTTAATAATTAACAAATAAGAGGGCCCATCGTCTCTCTCTCTCTCTCTCTCTCTCCATGTGTTTGCTTGTCCCCAAAAAATCAAGAGCAGACCCAAAACAAACCTTCATCCCCACCACTCACCTCCTACTTCTTCGGTCACTTGTCTCATCTTCTCTGATTTCCAGCAACGAACACACCCAATTTTGAGGTTCTAGTGGTGCTACAACTAAATCGCCAATGGTGCTACACCCAAATCTCGATTTGTGGTGGTGTTACAAACATAATGAAAGCTTCATCCCCACCGACTCACGATTCCACCCTTCTCGCTTCCACCGCCGCTCCTATTCTCACTGACGTGCCAGACTCCCTCCGTCCCTTCGGTGAATGAAAGCAAACGACACCACCACCATCATTTTTGTCTTTGTTGTTTCTCTTAATCCATTGGTTTCGCCGGAATCACTTGAAGCCATAAATGGATTGAGGGCTTCCGAGGGATTTCATCATGTGTGCTTGGGTGTTTCTCCTTCCCTCATTAACCCGTTGGAAGAAATGGAAGCTAGAGATGATTTCTTCACCTCCCTAGTAATTAGCTTCATCTCTTTTCTTATCCCAATGTTTTTTTTGCTTAATTTTTTCGCAACTGATCTAATAGATGGATTTGGGAGGGTCGAAGGTTGAAGGTGATGGATTTGTATTTCAATTACTCTTTTTCAAATTAGATCTGGAAGATGGATCTACAATCTTCCCCTTGATCAAGGCTCATTCTCCAAGTTTCTTCTTCTTCAAGGTTCACTAAACACACAAAAAGTGGTCAAATCTCTCTAGCTGAGCTAGGGTTTCGAAATGAGGATAAAAAGGGCAATGAAGGCTGGGAAATGAGAGAACCTTGGGATATAATGTTGCTTAAATAGGGTACAAACCCTAAAAATTAGGGTTTGCACTCTGGCCACCTACGCCCAACGTTCCTAGGGGAACGCCCAGCGTACGTACCCAACTCCCAAAATTACGAAAAAGCCATTTCGACCGAATTTTGTAATCAGTTCACTTCCAAGGTCTAAAATAAAATAAATTCTCATACATAGGGTTTAAAATGAGAACACCTCAATATCGAGATGTTACAAGCGTTGGTCCCTAGCCTCCGTCGCCTTTCAACTTGCCACATACCAACACCTGATCAATACTTTAATAAGTTCCTTAAAACTGGTAACCACTTACTAAACTCGGTGACCATTTGTCACCAAACTAATTAAACCTCATAATAATACTACTGTTGGCTTAACCCTGTAAGCGTTAGCTAAATTTCACACATTCGGTAACTCCTGTAAATTAGGGTTTATAACCCTTACCTCCAGACTATGTATTTAACCGTAAGATTTATCTTTTAATCTTACCATAGGGTTCATGGTAGCATCATATCACAGATTCCCATAACACATACACGGGTCTAACAACCCACCACAAAATATTACATAAACATAAGTATGTAATAATAGGATAAAAGATACATAAACTAATCCCGTAACTCAACCCTCGTATCCCGTATGCTAGTATGACTCTACAATAATAATTCTCCGGAAACACCTCACGAGCCTCTCTCCCGATCGCATGTGCCAAAACTCTTCGAATGGCACAAAACACACATATATATACTATACCAAAATAGTGTCGAAGTAATCAGGTGGCTTCGCCGCATCTACGTTTCTCTCCGGAAAACTGTCGCGTGTCGTAGTCGTTGCCACGTGTCATGTACGATCGCCACACACACACACACACAACACACACACACACATATATATATATATATATATATATATATATATATATATATATATATATAATTAAAAGTTTAATATATATTATACGTATAAGAAAAGTCAGTCGAACCGCTAGTACTCCTCATTCACGAAGCTGATCTATAAGGGGGTATAAGGAAACTGCCTATAAAATGACTCTCACCCACCGCTTCCTTGATTGGTGGAGGTTCATTAGCCGAACGGGATTGATATGACATAACCTCATTAAAAGTATAATGATATAAAGTAACTAAACTATTTTCTAAAAATCCCACTCTTAGTTACTTTCGGAAAAATGTGAATTTGTATACTAATCCATGAAATTGCACATTACACTTTATAAGTCGTTAGTGGAGCGTGTGTGGTTAACCGGTACACAAATGGGGGACTAATAAAGGGTGGTGATGGGTATCCTGAAAAATTATCGTTGATTAATGGAGTGTGTATGGTTAACCGACACATTAAAACGAGATGATAAATGACATCGAGAGTACCAATCTAATTTGCATGGTTATTCACCTCTCGTTTATGATCCTCGGTATCCCAGTCACAAAAGTGAGAGGATAATCAAGATTAAACATGCCATTGATTAGATTCAATGTATCTAAAAAAATCTAGGAGTTTCATAAGATTGAAATTAGTAAAACCACTACCTACCTAAAATAGATTCAAATTTGATTACGACATCCCTCTTCAAAGTTCGAATCGAAAATATGGATCCTAGCCTTAATTTAAATTTATGGGTTAATAATTAATGATTACAATCAACTAACTTGGATTCTCTTTTCTCCTATTATATATGTCAACTCAAGACAACAATGGTCTTCCTAATTCTTTTGGAAATGGTTTTCCTCTACCATCTTGTAGAAGTGATTGATCGAGTGTATGAAAGAAATTAGAGTAAAACAATGTAATCGGAACACCAGAGTAAATAAGATTTTGTTTCAGCTCATTTATACTTTCAACATACAGAGAGAGTGTTAGACAGAATTACAGCCAAAAGTTCTATCTATCTCAGAGTACATCTCCTATTTATAGGAGAACTGAAAGTACACAAAAAATACTAAGGACTCGGCATTTAGACTTCGAAACTAAAATGCCTTAGTAAATAGATTACATAACATTCGAAACTGACTCAACAAACTTTGACACATTACAACAAATTTGACTCAACATTCTCCCCCTTTGTAATCAGTGTCGAACTTTAGTTTGTGAGAATTTGAGCAGCAAAATGCATCATCCTTCGAATTTCAGTGTACCAGCTCATCACCTTCTTTAATTCAACTTTATCTCCTTCGTTGTTCTTTTTACAGTTGTTCATACAAACAATAAAGTTCGTATACTGAGCTGTTGTATATCTTTCAACTTCTGAAGCTTGAAATAAAAATCTCTTTGCTTTTCCCTTCATGTCTTTTCCCGAAAAGACTAAACCCCTTGGCTTTAAACAAATTTCTCCATCAGCAAACTTCTTAAGTTCAGCTTGAGACTTCACAACTTCCATATTCACTTTTACGTCTTTTCCCAATGCAGTAGATAGCTCTATATCAGTCAGGGCTAGACAATCATAGTAATTGTGTATGAAAATTATGATGTGACCAAGCCCAAGTCTCAAAATTTCCTTGCTTGTTCCTTGAATTTTCGAAGCATCCATATCCTTAAGAATTAATGCAACTTGAATAAGATCATTCAAGTTCATCAATGGAAAATCAGCTACAGAAAAATCACATGTCACGTTGTTCGCCCTTACCACATGATACCGAAAAATTTGGATCATGTTTTCGAACATAACATGTTTCGTCACGCTTATCACTCAAACTATCTTGATAAGGGACCATACCTCCTCCTGATCTTTTCCAACCACAACATGAAACCTTAATTTCATATGGAGAAAATCATCTTCATTCTGAAACTTCTCAATAACTTTGTATTGTGCTGTGATGAACATCATTTCATTTATCGGAAAATCAAACTGATTCATATCAGTATTTTAGATAGAATAGCTTCTTCTTG